CATTGATGTTTTCAAAGTAAATGGATAATCGTTTTTAATAATCGTGATATCAATTATTGACCCAAATAATCGAGATGATGATTTTTGCCATAATCGAGCAGCCCTGATACAAGTCTTATATCCACACTCTGGGTCAATGTGTGGATAGAAACCCACAATGACACTGTTGGCGGAGTACTGCTTTCATGCTGCACACACACACACACACACACACACACACACACACACACACACACACACACACACACACACACACACACACACACACACACACACACACACACACACACACACACACACACACACACACACACACACACACACACACACACACACACACCACACACACACACACACACACACACACACACACACACACACACACACACACCATGTATACATCACTTCAGGGGACATTACATTGACTTACATGCATTTCCTCGAGACTTATCCTAACCTTAACCATAACCAACACATGCCTAACCCTAATCCTAAACCTAACCAAGTCTTCACCCTAAAATTAATGGTTCCCCTCATGGGGACCTCCATTTTGTCCCCATAAGGGAGGCGAGTCCCCACACGTGACTGTGTAAACAGATTTAGGTCCCCACAAGTATAGTAATGCTAGTCCTCAAACACACACACACACACACACACACACACACACACACACAACACACACACACACACACACACACACACACACACACACACACACACACACACACACACACACACTCAGTTCTTAAACCTGTGTGTGTGTGTGTGTCAAAATTCAAGGCTTTATTGTCATGTGCACATTAGCTACAGTGTAGATATGTCAATGAGAAACTGAAGTCACAGGCTCCTCCCACAGTGCAACATGAATATATAGAGGATAAAATAGAGCAAGAGCAGGTGTGTTTCGTGCCTTGTCTGCGTGCACGGATCTACACACACGGCATGTTTACATGACTCGCATGAACATGTGAGTCAAAAGTATCCCAGCCAGTAAGACGATATGTCATCATTTGACTTTCACCTGACACAGCCTGCAAAGATCAGCCCTGAGGAGTTCCTGCTTTAAGCATCCACTCAAACACAAGCTCCTTTAATGCGTGCACGTCCTTCTGAGTGATCGATAATATCCCTTTAAGGCTGAGTGTAACTGTGCTTGTGATGCTGAGTGCATCCTCGCTGCAGAAATGTGTGCAGCATTGATCCAGGCTGTGTTCCCCACAAACAAAGGGCTCTTGTCTGTACACAAAAGGCAGGATGTAGTTCGGATTGAAGTGCGTGCGTGTGTGTGTGTGTGTGTGTGTGTGTGTGTGTGTGTGTGTGTGTGTGTGTGTGTGTGTGTGTGTGTGTGCGTGTGTGTGTGTGTGTGTGTGTGTGTGTGTGTGTGTGTGTGTGTGTGTGTGTGTGTGTGTGTGTGACCCACTGTATGTGATGGGGTAAATGAAGGGGGGCCGAATTTTTTTAAAGTAAAACAGACAGAAGAGGTGCTGGTGGTGGAGAGAAGATGATAGTGTTGGGGGGGGGGGGTTAACGGCCTGTTTCACTTTTGCACACAATCACTTGAAGGCAGCAGCAGCGGACAAAGAAGACAAAGTGTTGAATAGTTACCATGACTGTGGGCTAGGAACGCTACGCTGCATGAAAGAGAAGAGAGGGGTCGCTCACATAGACCAGAGGGGGGGGGGCATGATACTGTACTTTATATTCAAACTGTACGGAGAGAAGAGGCTCTTTAGGAGGACCCAACATGTCTAATTTCACATGTTTAGTAGCTTGCTTGACCTCTTAGGCCCAATTCCAAACGGACCCCTACAGACTGTGGTTCAATTTCAACATTCAAAGGTTTTAATGTCACATGCTCAAAGCTACAGTGGAGAAATGGCAAGGACATTCTTCTGACCTGAGCTCCTCCAACGATGCAACATATAATAAAATACAAAATAAAAAGTAGTGCAAAAAGTTTATATACATGTCAATGAAAAAGTGGAATAGTGCAATACTTATATATAGACTCGTATTGCACTGTTCTCACTATTTTTCTTTTTGTATTACTTTTTAATATAGTATATTTTAATATTGTCTGCTTATCTATTGTGTTGCATTGTTGGAGAAGCCTGTGACCTAAGATTTTCAACGACATAATTACTCTGTAGCTATGTTAGTTTGACAATAAAGAACCTTGAACCTTGAATAGAGTGACGTCTATAGGCGGATGGTGTAAAAACAGCGGCTTTGGGACAATCTGCCCTCCCTCCCGAATATGCATTTTATATAAAGAACAGGTAATCCTCAGGAGGGAACACAGGGATGCTAGCCTTTACAGACCATTTACACTAAAACCTATAGAACACACTACAGGAAAGGGAAAACCCCCAGAAAGCAGAATCATTTAATACTATTTTCTTTTTTACAGTCGAGCCTTCTGAGATGTTTTTTCTTAAATCCCAAACCAGATGTTAGAAGGTCAGACTTGTGGCAGAGTCAGTGTTTCTGTTAACACAAGGACACTAGTACACAAGGACACTAGTACACAGTAACGCAGTTTGTATATAACAAGTTTTATTGAGTTGCTGTAGGCAGTAAAACAAAAGATACGAGGGGTTGTTAAATAAGACATGGTCACACACAAATAAAACCAATATAAACGCCGCCCCAAGATCCAACACCCTTACACGTGGCTACCGCACTGAGCACAGATGCAACATCTGCTAAGGCTGCTCTATTTGTCATCCAGCCTTCATCCCGTGGTGAATGCTGGATGACACATTCAAAAAGTATAATGAAATACGGCCCACAAATGAAACTTGTGCTTGTCTCGGTTGGCTCCAGATGCCCAAGTGTTAACAATAAAAGAAAGAAAATAACAATGTGATGACGACAAGAAGCGAGAGGAGAATTCTTTCCCCTGGCTTCATCATGAGCAGAGACGCTAGCATTGTACTTCTTAAATATAGATGAAAACACATATTACACAGTAGTATTCGTGTGTTAAGAAGCCCACTTTTGTACTTGCACTATTTTATCTGTTTTCTTGTGTTGCACTGTTGGAGGCGCCTGTGACCAGATTGTCATATCTACACTGTCGCTATGCACACATGACAATAAAGCTTTGAAACTTGAAACTATTGAGGAAGTAACTGGACAGGGTGGAAAATAACTGATACATGTTCCCAAAGTCACTGTGTCGACTTAATCTGCTGTTTCAGTTACTAGCAAGCAGTGTAGGTGTTTTAGCTGTCATTTGTGTTGCATCGTCATCGTGACTGCAGCAGCGTTACTTTAGCTGTAGCTCCTTGTGTCTCAATACGACGCAGGTCTTTACAGTCGATCCATTCATCATCTTGTCAGGGTAACATCTGGCCTGCAGGAGCTGGCAGCGGGCCGTCAGTTTCAGAGAGTCGGGTTACTGGGAAGAAAAACAGTATCATTACAATGTCACTGAAAAACTAAACATATCATCTAGTGTTTGTTATAAAAGGATCAGATGTTATCTCTTCTCTGTGAGCTGTTCTGTTCTGTAGGAAAATACTTCAAGTGTGAATACTTCTACTGCCTGGACCTGCTTTGTGGTTTCCACTTTCTTTGCTTCATTTGTTCTGTTTTTAATTCAGCAGGTGAACCTATAAGTTCATAAAATAGTGTGTGTGAGATTAACTTTTCTGACAGGTAACAAGTAAATGAATCCATGTGTCTTTGCAGAGGTGGGAAGTGGAGTACAAATACTTTGTTACTGTACTTAAGTACATGTTTCTGCTATCAGTACTTTACTCCACTACTTATTTTTCTGACGACTTTTTACTTTGACTTCTTACATGTTGAACCCAAATACCTGTACTTTCTACTTCTTACATGTTGAACACAAATACCTGTACTTTCTACTTCTCACATGTTGAACTCAAATACCTGTACTTTCTACTTCTTACATGTTGAACACAAATACCTGTACTTTCTACTTCTCACATGTTGAACACAAATACCTGTACTTTCTACTTCTTACATGTTGAACACAAATACCTGTACTTTCTACTTCTCACATTTTGAACTCAAATACCTGTACTTTCTACTTCTTACATGTTGAACACAAATACCTGTACTTTCTACTTCTTACATGTTGAACTCAAATACCTGTACTTTCTACTTCTTACATGTTGAACTCAAATACCTGCTTTCTACTTCTTACATGTTGAACTCAAATACCTGTACTTTCTACTTCTTACATGTTGAACTCAAATACCTGTACTTTCTACTTCTTACATGTTGAACACAAATACCTGTACTTTCTACTTCTTACATGTTGAACTCAAATACCTGTACTTTCTACTTCTTACATGTTGAACTCAAATACCTGTACTTTCTACTTCTTACATGTTGAACACAAATACCTGTACTTTCTACTTCTTACATGTTGAACTCAAATACCTGTACTTTCTACTTCTTACATGTTGAACACAAATACCTGTACTTTCTACTTCTTACATGTTGAACCCAAATACCTGAACTTTCTACTTCTTACATGTTGAACCCAAATACCTGTACTTTCTACTTCTCTCATTTTCCAAACAGCTGGTTCCTTTAGTCTGAATGTGTGTTTGGTGCGTGATCATTATTCTTTAGAGTCATTGCGTGCCTATTGATTTGAACACGATCCGTGTATCCATCATTTCCTGCTCTTCTCTAAAGAAGAGGGACCAATGGAAACGTTGTCATGTTGCCGTTGTTCAGCATGGAAACATTCATTAGCTAACAATGACATTATTGTTCTATTAATATAAAGGGAGGTCAGGTACTCTTTAAAGCAGCTGCTAGTTATGGGTACTTTTTACTGAAGTACACTTCAAAGCCTCTTTATTTTGACTTGAGTAAAGAAGTTTAGTGAGTACTTCTACTTCCACCAGAGTATTTTTAAACACAAGTTTATGTACTTCTACTTGAGTAAAGGATGTGTGTACTTTTGCCATCTCTTTGTCTTTGCCGATTATAAAACATTGCTTCTTTTCCTCCAGGTTCTCCCGGTCAGACGAGCTGTCCAGACACCGGCGTTCCCACTCAGGAGTGAAGCCCTACCAGTGCACGGTTTGTGAGAAGAGATTCGCTCGCAGTGACCATCTCTCAAAACACATCAAAGTCCACCGCTTTCCACGAAACAGCCGGACAGTTCGCTCAGTAATCTGAAGCTGAAACCTCTACAGGAGCACAGTGTGAATGTTCATCTCTTATATGTGAGGGTTGTGTGAGTGGAAGCATGCCCTGTCTTTTCATTTCATCGCTCTGTGATTGTCCTAATTCAGGGGTGTCCAAACGTATTTCCCCGAGGGCCACATACAGAAACATATACGAAGGTCTGGGCCGCTCACTAGAGGTATACTGCCTCATAAGTTCTGTTATAAGTTGGAAAAATCAATCAAATGTAGGTACATGATGCTTGATACTTGAAATGCTTTAAGAAACAAACAGCCCAGCTCTCCAGAGGGTTTCCGTTATTCTGTCAGCAGCTCATTCCTTAAAACAGAAGCTTCAGTTTCTATAAGAGGAAATATGAAGGGTCTATTTCACGCTTGTTATGTCAATTTGTTATTGGGCTTTCTTCTTATCAACTTAGATTTGTTAAAACATGTTTTCAACTTGAATGGACTGAATTGATTTGAAAATTGGGCCACTGAATACTGTGTAATATTTGAAAATATATATTTAAGAAGTACAATATAAGACAAGCGTGAGGGCCGATTAAAAATGGTCAATTAAAAAAAAAGTTTGGACACCCCTGTCCTAATTTATTGTACAAAGACTGACACATCCTGTCAGCGTATGTTTTCCTCTTCTCTCCTTATCGCAGAAGGTTAGATAAGCGTATGTACAGTCAGTCTGGATCAGTTATAGTCTTGCATGTCCCCTTTTACCTGGATCAAAACGACTGCCTTTAATCGCCCTGAAAGCTGCCAGTGTCGTGGACATTCCTCGTCTTATGCAAAGTTTAGGAAGTCAGAGGACGTTTCCTCATTACTCTTCACTCTCCGTGGGGTTTTTGCTGCCTTGTTCCACAAATCGTTGGTGGCAGTTTTTTATTCACATGTCCCAGCAGCTTTGTAAACCTGCTGGGACATGAGGAGTGGAATCAAGAAGCCTCACAAGACATCTAAACGTGAAAAGTGTTAAATCCGCCGTGTGATCAGTGTTAAAGGATCTTTGTTTGTTGTTTTTCAAAAGCTAAATCATGTGAATCTACTCGCTACCAAGACCCCAGGAAGAGCATCGGCCATTGAAGCGAATTTTTGTAGTGGCCAAACGATGGTACTACAACTTCAGTTCTAGTTCGGGATGCCATTGGGCTCAAACTACTTGTTTCTTACTGACTTAGAAACCCTAAGCATGAACACTTTTATAGCACTTATTTAAATTATTAGGGTCTAAAAGTTGGGTTGTTTGACCTCTCCATTCATTTGACTGAGCCAAGAGTGGGAGATGGAGGCGGGGCTTAAGATCAGGAGGCGGGGTTATAATATGAGAGGTGGGGCTTATATATGGGAGGCGGGGCTTAATGCAAACTCAAGTGCCCACACTGAAAAAACTGAACCTATAGATTCCCCATTTTTGGCGATATTCGCAACTTAGCAACTCTCAAAAGATTTAACGAGACCCCCGCCTCTGTATCCAGTTCTCTTTATACATCCATATTTGCGACTGGTCTACTATTTGTATATCGCTTTTTTTGGCCTTACTGTACCACAAAATCCTTACTGACGATCTGAATGGTTTGGGAAGCCAGACTCTAAATTGGTGTTAAGTGACTGTTGAGAAGTTGTCCTTATATTGTCCCTGAATGTCTCAGTCTGCTATGATTATGATTATTATTATTTTGCTGATGACTTGACACAAGATCTGCCTCAATCCTTCTTTTGTCTGCTACCGGAGACACCCTGACAGCCTTGTAAAGTGACACCGACCAGGGCAAAGGGCTTCTGGGAACATCTTTGAGGCCATACTTTGTAATTGTTCTCAAACATTGTGTAGCACACCCCACAGTGAATATGTCGGGGTTTGAAGATGCCGTCCATTTGTGATTCATGTGTGTAAACAAGCAGGGGTTACACAACATTGTGCATCATTCCTTCATTCAATTTCTGAATTGTTAACGCTTGTGGGAACACAGGTGTTTTATCGCATCCTATGAATGTATGTAAATATGCAGATCCAGAGAAACACAGAGAAAACCATATCTTAAAAACACAAATCAGTGGTTGTGAAGATTTCTAGTGCGAACCCTAAATGTGTACATAACTACGTTTCAGTCCATATGGATATATTATATATTTTTGTCTTTGTTGTATTGAAGATGCATTTACAAATAAAACTGAAAATAAATAAACAGTTGCAATTCCTTTTTCTTGTATTAATTTGCATTTGACATTGAGGGAAAGTAATCAGATTACATTACTTGTTTTTAAATCGATATCTAGATTTGTGCATTACGTTGTGTTATGACCTGGCTCACGACAAAACGAGAGACCACATGATGTGTTTAAACAATATTTTATTAAGCAAATGATACCAAATTAAACATACAGATTGGATGTGATGATCAGAGTCAGTGGTGTGTGTGATGAGCACGAGTGAAGTGTGTGTGTGTGGGTGTCAATGTTGTTAAGTGGAAACAAAGCAAAAGGGTAAGTAGCACACCAAGTGAGATGAGAGGCACTCGATGATGTCACACACAGGGGCATCACATGGTGGCCAACAGGTGCAAACGTGCTACGACAGCCCAAAACACTTCCATTAATAATAATAATTTCAATTTATATAGCGCCTTTCACGAAACCCAAGGATGCTTTACAATGGGAAGTAAAAAAATAAATAAAAATAATAATAATAATCATACAGATACATAGGCTGAAGAAAACAGGAACAGGAACAGGTTGCTGGGTACTGCATATTAGTGAACAGATGGTGTTGGAGGTGTTTTTTGAAGGTGTCCAGAGAGTCTGCATTCCTGATTGCAGAGGGGAGAGAACTCCAGAGGGTGGGGGCTCTGTTGCCAAATGTTTTCAGCTTGGAGCGCTGGATGGAGAGCAGCCCTTTGTCGGAGGACCGCAGGTGACGAGAGGGGGTGTAGGGCTGAAGGAGGTCAGAGATGTATGGAGGGGCTAGGGAGTGGAGAGATTTGTAAGTTAACAGGAGGAGTTTGTAATTAACGTAGTATTAGTAGTATTAAGATGAACGCGCTGCAGTTGTGACTATTGGCAGTTAGTTCCATAATAATAGAAGGAATAATGTGATCACCTTGTTAAAATGAGCCAATAAAACGTACAATTTAGCTACATTTCCGTAGAGTTTGTACCTGCTTCCAGCATATTTTTGATGTTGCTGCATTGCTTTTAGTTGTTGATATTTTATTTGTCTCGTTTTGGAAACTGCAGTGCCTTTCTCCTAATGGAAGTGCTTTGAGTCGTTGCAACGTATTTGGGTAGTTGACGTGGACTGAAAGCAAAAGTAAAATTATATTTTTTTCTGAAATGTTACTCAAATGACATATCACTGAATGACTTAATACGTGAATAACTCAAAACTTTGTGAGACCCAATCTATTTCCTTAATTATTTGATATAATATGAACTTTTCTGTGCGGAAGTCCTAATAATTGTCTCCTGGTGTGACATTATGTTTAATGATAATATTTAATTCAGAGATTGTCAGACAGAGAAGAAATATATGCTCAACCATTATCAACTTGTTTTAAATATTCCCCTACAACCATAGTAATCAATTTAAATGTATAATCATGTTATTGCCCTACTAAATGATCTACACATAGGGACTTTTCATAAAAGTTTGGGTTATTTTCATTATAATAAGTATGAAACCTGATTGAACTAAAAACTATCTTTACATATCCATAGTGATGCTATTACTCTTCTTCTATTCAACACTTTTCTCAGGCATTTGAGAACCAAAATGCCTATTTTCTTTACTTTTCTTTTTGTCGCACCACAGGACATTCTGTCACACCGATGGACACCATTACAAAATATGCCAAGTTTTGTACAAAATCTTTATTATTTCATCTCTACTCTCTAAGGTTATATTCTGAGCATCAGAACCAACAGTGCTATTTAAAAATGTGTATTGGCTAATAGCCATCATAACATCATGTCACATCATAACATGGACATAAACGGAAATGTGAATAACAATGGATAGCTTGAAACATATTCAAAACAATTCATTAAACAATTCATCCATAAAACTCATTAATGTTCATTCATGAAACATTCAGTAGAGATTAGCAATTTCATTTTTCAGTAAAATTCATTGAACAATTGATAAAACTAATTAATAAAAACATTCAGAAAAGATAAACACATTCATTGTTAAGTAAAATTCAGTCACATCTGTAGTTTGACTCGAGTGGTGAAACAATGTCCACTAGCTTATACTGTATAGCTTTTGGTGCGTGGGACTCGCATCACGTTTCTACATTCTTTCAGATCTCATTGAATAGTAACCAGTCATATTCGGTGAGCTGTGCAGCACGCTGGTTGGGCTCTGGCTCGGAGATGACACTGGCGATTTGTTCTCTGTGGTAGAAAATGCAGTCTGGCTTATTAGGCCACTTGAATACATTTCTCTTTCCATGCTGAACCATGCAGTTGATTTCAATGTTGTCAAGAAGTAGCTTGGTGATCTGACCAACAAATAGTTTGTTGTCATAGCTAACTATGACAAACTTTCCCACAGTGTACTCTTCATTGTTCTCCACATCAGTACTGGGACTCTCAGCATAGGTCTCCTGGAGGCTGTCTGGCTGCAGGTGATCAGAATTTGCATTCGAAGAATCGTCCATCCTCATCTTAGTTGGTTTGAAGCATTCACACATCTCTGGGTATTGGCAGAAGCAGCTCAGATCCCTGTAGTAAATCTCTCCTGGACAGAAATAAAGTATCTGGTGTGTTTTAAGAAGCCCTGGGACTGTTGGAACTGATGGCGGCAACATTTCATTGAAGACATTAATGTCACTTTCATCAATCCATTTGATTCGGATGTTCTCGACTTCTCTGTTGATCAGAAATTCATACAAGTCCTTCGGATTTTGTAAGTCTTTCCCCCCATGGACATGGTTGTCCGCCATCCGTTTCACAGCTCCACCAACTCCATCAGGTGCACCCTTACCGTGGGCTCTCTCTGAGTAATTCCAAGTGATTTGCTTGAGCCCCCAGGTATAGGGTACACTGCTGAGGAGGAAACAGTTTGCCCTATTTCGATACTGTGTGACTGGACCGTCACTTAACACATGGAGCGTGTCAATCTTTTGGACCGAGTTTTTGCATCATTTCCTGCATTACAGGTTTGATATGGGCCCACGCAGCCCGTTCATTATGGCTGAGAGAGTCAGAGATTGGGGCATACGATTGTGAACCTGTTGATGTGTAAGCCACTACTGTGTGGATGGATGCCTGTTGTCAATTTCCTCCAAAATGAAATGCTTGAATCTCTGTGTTCAATTTACAGGCATAATTTTCAGAGAAGTCAACATGTAGAACTATTTCGTTCTCTCTCAGGTTGTCTTTCAGTTGCCTGAATTTCTGGGCCTGGTTTGAAGCCAGTTGAAATGATGGATGGCAATGGCGTCCAACTCTCTGTTGAATTCCTCAACAAGTTTTGACACTGTACCATTTTCTGTTTTCTTTACCCAGTTTTTATACGTTTTGTTCCCAACCACCACGTCTTCCTTCGTCCAGTGTTCCCATCTGGCTCGCTCGTCTGGGTTATAAGCCGCAAGCTTGATTTCATCATAGCAGCACTTTGTGCATGTTCGATTCATACAATGTAAGTCTTCAGTATTACAAGTAATACTTGAGAGGAGATGTGATAGGCTTTTTGAGGAGAGTATACCCCTCTGTGACAAGCTGTCAATTCGGAGCCGCATGTTTTCATGCTGGTAGCAGGCACATGTATTACGATCATTTGATCGGGCTTCTGTGACAAAGAATGGCTTATCGTACAAACTGTCTATATGATATTGCATGATGTGCTTCACATGTCTGGTTGTACTCTTTGTGCAAATCAACTGAAGATGTTGCTAGTACTCTCCTCTGCATTTTTTCTTTCCTACCAATAATGTCTTTTTTCCCAGGGAGAAGTCTGCTGTTCTCATCTCTAGTCAAGAAGGACTCCACTTGTGTTTTTCTTTGTCCAGCAATGTATCCTTGCTTGGACTGTTTTGTTCTTGAGGGACTTTTCCCACAAACGTTCCATGTCTGTATGAGGCGTTGATCCTGCCTTCTAAACCTCTCAGCTTTTCGTTTTTCTGCTTTAACTTGTAAGTAATTTCTTATTTTGAATCATTAGCTTCTTCAGCTGCTTTTTGACAGCGGATTTTCTTTATAATCCCTTGGGTTTAATTGGAGCCATCTCATTGGGGGAATGTGTTGGTGTACTGCATAAAAGAGGTACTAGGACTTCATTGACCTCTTCATGGTCAGAAGGTTGATCATCAGCCTGAGGTGGAGTTAGTTCAAGTATAGCCTTAATGGCCCTGTCCCTTGCCCTACATCTCCTTTTTGAGTTCTTCCATTTTTCTTGAAGCCGCTTTTTTGTTGCTGCTGACACAGACTTCACACTGAGGCTAACAATTTCTCCATTCACTCTTTTCTCCTGATATCTGCAGAAAAAAGGACAAAACCTTAAGCATTTCTGCCCATGTAATGAAACATTTTAGTCGTTTAATCATTCTTGGTGGCATGTTATATTTACTTTCTGCGTCTCTCTCTCAAGAGATCCTCTCTCCTCCTTGGATCTTCATTCAACCTCTCCCTGTACTTTCTTGTCCTATCCTTACTAGTCATCGTCTGCCTGTCTCTCATACCTTCCGCCTGGACCTCAAACTAAACAAATAGAAAACAGTAGAAATGTTTTACTTTCGGTGTACTCAAAAGGTTAGAAAACGTATTATATAAGTAGTCTAAATTAATTTAAAATGCATCTATCTAGGCCTTATTTATAACCTACGTCCACTGGTGTGACAGCCATTTCCACTAGTGTGACGCTGACTTTACGTCACACTATAGGACAATGCTGTCACACCAGTGGACATTTTTAGTTACATTGTCAGTTTGCGGCCTAGCTGTATGCTAGAGAGCCTTCAATCCAAACTTACAGTGTAAGGTTTACATCATATTCAAATGTAAAATAATATAAATGTATTAAAATGTTCATATCAACAATTTCATTAAGTCACACCAAAGGACAGCGTTATCGGTTCCATTTCTGACATTGCAAAAAAATAGCAATATTATGATAAATATCTGAGCCAAAACTCACCCTCTGTTCATTTCATGTGGTCCAGGGTTGCAACCCAGTCTCACGGCATTTCGTGTTCACCAAC